TTAAAAAATGGGATGTGACAAAGACGAATGAGCATGCCTGTGAAATGGCTTGTTTATTGGCTGTTGCCTGGTCAATCACAAGTTGTTAGCCAATGAGCATATCCTCTCTTTTTTTTTAAGGAAACATATTCAATTTTTTTCCCTTCAGCATGTCCTGAAATGAGTGACTGATCCCATTAAATCATATTGAAAATTTAAATGCTAAGAAAGCCATTTTTTCCATTTTGACTTTTTGTGACTTTTTGAGTCCTCACCGTCTGTTAGCCTTCAGATCGAATGCAGGTTTAAAGCACATCACAGTTCAAAGTGGGAGCCACTCATTTATGAATAAAAATAACGAGCAATTTGGTCTCCCTTTATCTTCTCAGTCATTTCAAAGAAAACAGAAAGCCCCAGAAACAAACCTGTATCCACTGTTCTCTGTTGATCTCCACACCATTGGCACGCAGAGAAGTGATGGCTCGGTCAATGATCTTTTCGACCATCTGAGTGTTCCCATTGGCCTCCTCCAGCTTCGCAGCAGTGATCCAGATGTGGCGATCAGTGGGGATATTCTCTCGAGCTTTGTTCAGGACACGACGAGCGTTCTCATACGTCTCTAACCGGGCCAGTGCCAGCCAGAGCTAGAGAGGACAGAGAGTTAGTTATAAAGTTCATTGCATATGTTCATATATTGTGCTGCACTCTGAGACATTCAGTCCAATTTCCAAATGTTCATGTTGGTGAAGTACCTCCACACTTGTAGGGCAACACTCCACAGCTCTGCTGAGCATGATCCTGGCATCCTCTGGTTCCTCCAGTTCAACAGCTGTCTTCCACAGTCGAACTGACTTGGATACATTTTCCAGCGCTATGACAGGGAACAGTTAAATAAGTACTAAGTTATTTTGCTGATGCTTCTTATTTTGAATAACTTCAATGCAAGAATTCATAAAAACAAGAACACAAAAACTATTTAACAAAGATCCTATAGAGCTCAGAGAACACACAAGCACAGACAACAAAAATAAATAACATATTTTCAACAGTGTCAGCTGGGATAGGAGTGTGCTTTGTATGTAACTGAGAAAAGTAGAGCAGAGGCAACTGAACATGTAGAGGCGGAGTAAGCTCTTCCTCAGAGGAAACGCTGATCCATCTCTGTCAGTGGGGTATGCTGCTGGGAAGTGTTAATAAGCGTTTGTGTGTGTGCGTAAGTTAGAGCATTGACACCATGGTTAAATAGGGTGTCTCGCTTTGACAAGAAGCCAGAAACACAGCTGCCAAATGTAACTGTGATAAAATCTTTTGTTGCAACCTTATGAATAAAGAAAGTGAGCAGATCTGTGCGGGTGATTTTATAAGAAGATAAACAGATTGAGACTGGTCTTGAGTTTTGGCCCTGCAGAAATTAAGTTTCTTTCTTTTGGCAGAAATGGTTCATTCTGATATGCATTGCTGGGAAGGCGCATGAACTTCGGCTCATATCATAACAGGAAGACGAATTTCTGGTAATCTGTGAAAAAATAAACACAAACACACAAAAAAGCTTTTTGTTAAATATTGGAGGGGATAAACGACAACCTTACCCTTTCTGAGGACTCGTTTCTTAGCCCTGACGTCTGTCTCCAGCTCTGCAGCTCGGATATAGATGCGCACAGACTGTGGAAGGTGACGGACAGCCTGGGCTACCACCGCTTTGGCTGTGTCACCAGGCTGGAGCCTGGCAGCCTCCAGCCACACATCCTCACTCTAATCCAAAGGGAAAACACTTATTTA